TTTTTTTTGTTTTTTTTTTTTTTTGTTTGTTTCTTTGCTTGTTTTTTTTTTTTTCCTGCTGCCTTCATCTACTTAGTATATTCAGGTATAAACTGATTTTCAGCTACAGCTTCAGAATACACATTTTTTACAGCCCATGCCACAGAAATGGTTAAAAATTAATAGCAAATATTAAAATAGTGTTCCTTAATTAAAGTCTTACACTAAATTCCAAAGGGTTGGAAGAATTTTTAAGTATCTGAACTTTCCACTACTAAACTTTAGGAAGTGCTTGCAGACAAGAACAATCTAAATGTTGCTGTCTTACTCTGTGTGTCCCTCCTCTTTCAGTAATCTGCCATTACATCCTAAAATGTGACAGAAACTAGAAAATGTGAACACCTAATTCAATCCCTTAACTTTCTATCAATAAAATCAGAGGGAAATTTGCCACAAAGGGAACAAACATCATGTTCTTATAACCTGTGTTGTTTAGAGCTATGCACCAGAAATCAAAGCTTAATGTAAAATAATATTACTTAATAAATAATGATATATTTATGTGAATTGCAAATTCAAACTAGGTTAATAAAAAAATGTTTTAACAGCTAGTATGTATAAATTCTTTTGTGGGAAAAATTCCTCTTTAGATAAAATCTAAGGCTGCTTATTGTAGTTTTCTTAGTCTTCATGAGCCAAAAAAAAAATCAAATTTCTAAATTGAAAAAAATTAAAGAAATACACAAAAATATCAAGAAATACAAATAAGAAAACTGAGAATGTACATGAAAATATCAAAGAAACCTTACTGAAAATAAGACTATTTTATAATCATCCTGCTATTAAATTAAATCAGTGTTCAGATATCTTGCTTTGTAAGTGAGGTACATGAAAATCCTTTTTTTTCTAATGACGACTTTTATACCCACACATAGGAAACTCTAATCAAATCTAATGAATTTTTATCAATACATGAAGAAAAATTTATTTGACATAGATTTAAATGTTAATCATAGCGAATCAAATTGTGACAGAATGCAAACTGTTATTTTTAGCTGTACTGTACCAAACTATAATTCTAGTTTAGGACAACTTTCAGACTTTGTTTTCAAAGTGTATTGAGATTTTGTTCTCAGTGTGTATGTCTGAAATACTTTCTCGTTTTAAAATAATTTGTATTTTACCATACAGAATTTCAATCTTATCTAAAGATATGTGAAATCATTAGCTTTCATTATTGGTCTTGACAAGTTTTCTTCTTCATTTTTAATGCATATTAAAGTAAAGTAAAGTTCGCATATAAACTTTGTACTTTTTTGTTGATGGTATTATTAATAAATAATATAGAATGCCTGACTGACAAAATATATAGCATACTTGTCCTTTTCATATATGGAGAAGAATTCAAGCAGAAAATGCTAGGTCAGCAAACATAAGGAACTAAATTTTGTCACATCATCCCTAACACAGTTTCGTTCTTTTCACATGGAACTTTACATTTCACATCCCAGAGCTGGAAGGAATTGTTATGTCCCATTGATACCTTTTGGCATTCACAAACACAGTTTTCTGTCATCACATGCATATCAGCTGGAGTCAGAAATTTGCAACTTGGAATGCCTCATAAGTGCATCAATGGTTGTGTACTTGCTTAAGTGGTCTAAATACCCTCCTTTTCATTAAGATTAAACTCCAGCTGAGAATTTTTTACACATGTGGGTGAAGGATGGCTCATAACTGACTGTTAACATCACTTAGTTGAATCTCTGCATGAGGTAATAAAAATATTTTCTATTATGATATCATTGACTATATCACTGTCAGTTCCTCATGTGATTAGTCATTTAGAAAAAATATTTTTGTAACCTTCAATCAAAAGAGCTGGTTATTAACCTCACTAAGATTAAAAGAGTAATAATTCATGGTAATAATTAAGCATTAGGAAAGAACACATGATTTCATTTACAAGAGGAATATGTAATTTATACTTGGCATAGCAAAAATCCTATTTTCATTTTTTCATCATAAAATTATTTTAGAGATAATGCCAAGTAACTTGATGAAAACTGAGCTGTTATTTTAGAGACTTTACAAGTATAGAATAATAAATAGTCCCTGTCTCAAATTCTTCATAGTCTAAATAAATAATAAGGGCAAATACAAAATATAGATGTCCAAAATAACAAAAAATATATCTTTATCTAGGACATTTTTCAATTATTATAAAAATATGTAGCAGACTATTCTCAAACTGGAGGGATGTTAAGTCACCTAAGTAGCTGGCATGTGAAATATTTTGAAAGCTTATAAAAGTCTTTTACTTACTGTAATTTGCAACTATTTACAATTTTCCTTAAACAGGGCTGGTAGGCTACTTGACTGATCTGTGTCACATAATGAAATGGGTAAACAGAAAAGAGCCTAAATTTTTGAGTCTGTGATTTTGAACTAGACAGTCAGCTAGCTCTTATTCTTACTTGAGCTAATTTTTTATTTCTGACAGCATTAAAATCCATAGGACAATGTACTTGTTGCATGCTAAAAAGTTCACAATGTAATAGCCATGACTACATTTGTTTGATTATTCTCAAATGAAAGGTGTCAGTTTAAGCTTGGACAACTGAAGTAATGATAAAATTGGCTCCTAAATTATCAAGAGGATTTCACAAATAGCCTACTTTGTCAGCTACTTCATCAAGGGGTTGGATAGGTAGTATGAGCTGCCTGGTTTATTCTCATTTGCATTTCCAAACAAAGTTCTGCCCTTTTCTTTGAGTCTCCAGATGTGCCTTCAGACTGAGGCTCCATAGCTGCATTTCTCTTTTCCCACAAGCCCATAGGAGTTATGCAGATCAGCTCCCGTGAGTTGCTTAGTTATATTGTTTTTCAATTATTTTGTGGGGAAAGAAGGAAGCATGGCCTGTATGAAAGGAAATAAAGTAGTAAGCATGACCTACAAAACTGCAGCTTGGGACATGAGCCACCTTCATAAGTGACAAAAAATATGGTCAGCTTCTTGAACATATCAGACAAAACCAAGTATTTCCTTATATACCATAGTGCTCAAAGCACAGAAAGCTAGTTCTACCCTTCTTCCTTTCACTATTCAGTTCTGTACATGCTTTTGTTAGTAAATGGATGTATCCAATCAGTTACTCCAACAGTACTGTTTGCACACATACAGTGCCAAATAAGACAAAGGAAGTTCTGTTTTCCTCTGCATCTACAACTCCAGGGTCCTAACTTCCCATAGAATCCCTAGATAATGAGTTTGTCACTTTTGGTCTCCTGGGTCCTTGAGGCAGACGACTTTACTACTTCCATGTAAGAACTTATTTTATTTCTGCTAGTTAATCTTAGATAAATGCCAGAAAAATATGGCTATTTTACAGAAAGCATTCTTTACATAATTTGTACAAATCTTTGAATATTATTGTCTCTAATGGGAAGATATAATATGACATTCTTCAGTGGTTTAATTAAAGCTTTCTAGTTGATTCTTAAAGTATTTCTTCTTTATTTACTTTAGTGTAACAAAGTGTAAAATAATGCAGATATGCTGTCAAAAATATTATGATGTTTGAATTATTTTTTGTATAGAAGACTTCAGTTTATTTGCAATTTGTACTGTAAACTGAATATCTGTGGATGAAAACTTGAACAGTACAGCTCCAGGAATTCTAGAATTCAACTCCTTTGTGTTGAAACTCAGTAATACAATATACCTTCATCTCTTATTATATAGAAAACTAGTTTAAAGACCTTTAAAAAGATAAACCAACATATCTTCAGTACACATTAAAATATTTAAGTAACTGACCTGCTGTGCAAATACAGTGTTACCTAGAGCTTCCTAAAATTTATCACCATAAATTAAGATTCTGGTGTATCACCTTACGTATTGTTATTATTATTATGACTATATTGATTATTTTAACATTGATATACAACAGATAGTAGAAAACATTAACCCTCTACTTAGAATTTGCTTAAACATTTCTAGCTGAGGAATATTTTAGCTATCAGGCAGCCTTGAGCTTTCAACATTTCTATAAATCAGGGAAATTCTTTATGTCAGATGTACATAAAATTGTTGATTAGAACTTTCATTCAGTGGTAAAACTGTTACAACTTTAATGTTATCATAAAACTAGGAAGTATTTTATGAACACCTTTTACAGGCAAACAAAAAAATTATCTTTATGATCAGGATCCTAGTTTTCCTGAGAATTCCTTATTTTAAATTAAAAATGACCAAGGTTTTGTGGTTTTCTTTTTGATTCTCTATTCTTGTTTAACGAGTCTGTTACCAAAAGTTTAGCATGTTCTAAGGGGAATCTTAAGATAATTATAATTTCTGTACTTATAGAAAATAAGTAAAAAGAGATTATTTGAGAATCAAGTAATTTTGTGTCCTGGTTTGAGCCTGGTCGGCAGCCAACCACCATGCAGCCACTCTCTCTCCCTTCTCTTCCAGCAATAAGAAGGGACAGAGAACCAGGCTTTCGGTTTGAGATAGGACTGGGATGGGGAAAAAATCAACCTTATTGGTCATGAGCAAAAGGCAGACTCATTAGGGGAAGAAAAAAAAGCACATACATTTATTACAGACACTAACAACACATAACAGAGTAGGACAGTGAGAAGCATTGCCACATCTTGAGAACACCTTTCCCCCACCCCTCCCTTCTTCCCAGGCTCAGCTCTGCTCCCAATATCTCTAACTCCTCCCTCCAGCAGCGCAGGGGCAGGGAATGGGAGGTGCAATCAGTGCTGCCACTTCGTCCATTTTTATTGGGGGGAGCTTCTGGAACTTGTTCCCCCTGCTCCATTGTGGTCCCTCTCTCACAGGAGACAGTCTTCCAGAAACTTTCTCCGACATGAGTCCCTCCCACAGGCCGCAGCATTCCCCACACTGCTCCATCATGGGTCACTAACGTTCTACAACTGGATTCCCTCCCATGGCTGCAGCCCTTCCCGAGCTGCTCCGGTGTGGGACACCCCCGCATGCTGCAATCCTCCCAGTGCTGAATTACAGCAGCGGGGCTACCTTTTCCCACAAGACCCCGGCCTCCTTCGGACAGAGTACCATGATCATCCAGGCAGAAACCACAGGCTATGTGTGTTCACGCAGCTGCCGCAACTCCTCCTCTCAAGTCACATTGCTCATCACCACGTTCCTTCTTAAATACATTATTGCAGAGGTGCAGCTGATTGGCTTAGTTTTCAAGCAGAGGTGGAGCTGACTTGGAGCTGGGGGAGCTTCAAGAAGTTTCTCATAGGGGGCCATCCCTATAGCCCCCTCCCCTGCTACCAAAAAACGCCACCACTCACTCAAACCCAGGACATTTTGTAATTACAGGGACTCAAAACCACTGAGATATATGGATTTTTTTTCTGAAATATATATATTAATTTATTTATAACTATATGGAAGCATACATTTTAAATGCAGTATCATAATAACATTACATATTTATTCTAATCTTTGCACTCTAAATTATAGGTGATACAGCTGGTTCTTGTGGTGATCCAGGTATCCCAGGTCATGGGTCTAGAGAAGAAAACAATTTTAAAATTAAAAGCACGGTACATTTCAGCTGTGATATTGGATATATCCTCCATGGCTCAGAAGAAAGGACATGTATGGCAAATGGAAGCTGGACAGGAAGACAACCAGAATGCAAAGGTAGATCACAGAAGATCCACTCTATTTTTAAATTGTCTTATTAAAAAAATGCTAATCAGAACACCAATTTTACATTGCCAGTTTTGTGTTGTGAATGGTAGGTAAACTGATGATTTTGGATTGACCATTAAATTTTTTCAAATAAGTTGTTATACCATAGCAATGGCTTCATATTGGGTGACAAATTTGAAATCAGTTCCTGGCACCCGTGAAACTACATGTTTTCAAAGTTTTGAGAAAAAAACTATACTGAACTGTTTATTTTTCTCAATTTATATGTGTTATCCAGTACAAAAAAAAAAAAAAAAAACAAAAAAAAAACAAACAAACCAAAAAAAAAAACAGAAAATACAATATGTAATGCCTCTAGACCTCAATTTTTCCTGAAAGATTTTTTCCCTTAAAAATCTCACCATCACCTAATGTTTAATTACATCCATTATACATCTGAATTTCAGATAAGAGTTGAGTTTTAGGAAAAAGTCAATGTCAGGATTTCATTAGATACACGTCATAAATGATTGGCTTAAAAATTTTATTTACTAATACTGTTGACATTATTTATCAATAGAAAAATAAATGTTGAAACAAGTTTATTTGAAAAAAATAATTTAGAATCTTCAAGCTAGATATATTATCATAAAAGAAAGCTGTAACAACATATTTATGGAGAATAATTTATTACCTTATTATCTTGATTCAAAAATAGGAAATCCCAACAGACTCTTCTTCAAAGAAAAGCTTCCCAAAAAGCAGAAAATAATTTGAGAACCTGTACTCTTATTTTCCACATTGTCACTGTTGATGACTGCGTTATCTGTATGAAATAATCATTCTAAAAACTTATTTCTCAAGCTGTTTTTCTAATATCCTGTTTGCCAAATAATTGTCATCCTGGCACAACATATATATATATATATATATAGGTGTTTGTATGTTGGTATCTGAATGGATATGCTTAACCCAGCTGAACTTTCTGCTGTACTTCTTTGATCTTATCTGTTACAGAAATTAATTGTCCATTTTATATTGTAAGATACTTCTGATGTTTTTTTTCCCCCTAAAAATCTCTTGATATGATGAATCTGCTTCACAGGTATATATATATAGGTGTGTGTAATGCACACACAAGTATATTGGTCTAGTTTAGGTCATATAGATTTGATATATATATATAATCACATAAGAAAGACACATTCAGATTCCAAAATTGATCATTGAAGAACTGGGAAACATCAGGCTTACACCTGCCTATGAAATAATAATTTGACTCTATTCCGTGCTTTGAATTAGGTAGGAAATGTACGTTGGTGATGCCATAAATGCATACCTACTATAGATTCAGATTAAATCTACAGTGATTATTGTAGATCAGCCATTTTCTTATAATTTGGAGTTTGTCTTTGCAGCTAAACTAGCTTTTCATTAATGCAGATTTTAAAGTTAAATTTGTAAGCTGTGTTTCCCTACATATAAAAGAATAAAACCAAATTATTAATGAAAACAGAGATTTACTGTACAAAAAGACTTATCAGTAAGTGGTGAAACTTACATTTTTCGGGACAACAGCATGGATTTCTACCACTTAACACTGCTGGCAGCAGGATTGTCCTTAGACATTACTATTTCAAAAACTGTGTTTACAACATTTTAAAAATACTTAACATTTTGCTTTATAGCTGTGCAGTGTGGTAATCCAGGAACAACCGCTAATGGAAAAGTATTTCGTATTGATGGAACTACATTCTCTAATTCAGTAATTTATTCATGCATGGAAGGATACATACTTTCTGGATCATCTGTAAGACAATGCACTGCCAATGGAACATGGTCTGGATCCTTGCCAAACTGCACAAGTAAGACATATCTCTAATGAATAGTATTTGTTTTTCTCTCCTCTGAAAGACAGTAAAGTGAAATATAGAAGTTGGATGCAAATAAATTAATTCTTCAGCTCCTTCTTGCACTACTTCATACATAATTTTGTACATTAAATACTTTAAAAATATATAGTGCAATGAGAAGATGAAGAATATGATTTTTTTAAAGACAGACACAGTATAGTAAAATACAGAGACTGCTATTACAGATTAAAAGAGTTGTATGGTTACATGCTTTGCCTACTTTAATTCTTTCTTCATTTATATTTTTAATCTTGTGTATGTTTTGTGATATGTCATATTCAGACATTAATAATTTAATTGATTTTCTTCATCATGAAAAGTTAGCAGTATAGTATTGTGGTCTTCCAGAGAGCAGAAGGTAAAAACCTTTAAATTAACATTTAAGAATTCTTTTTGTATTCTTTTGTAGACTCTGAGGTCAAAACTGTTGTCACGCTCTCATATAACAACTTCTGTTTGGCCTCTTCATTAACCTTATACTTACTTTGGTTACTCAGCTAACAGAAGCTATTCCAGCATCTCTCACATTCATAATAAGCATTTTGTGACAGTTAATTGTCAAGGCCACCTTTTCCTGCTTTATTACATGTCCTAGTTCATCTTTTAGTAACAGTTAAGAAAATTTTATATTTATGTGACAATGAAACTTTCTATCATTTTGAGGAAACATATCCTCATCAGAGGCATAGCAAACTGTTGCTTAAATTTTGAACTAGTACCCTAGTTTTTGTAGAGCTGGCTACTTTACACACTTATAGCAACCCAAATAACAGCCAAAAGTAAGATGATAAAGAGAACTTCTCCTTCTTGTGTTGTTTATAAATACATCTTTAACGGTAGGCATGTGAACAGCTGCTTTTGCCGTCAACAAACCTGTGAGAGAGACCAATGTTTTTGTTTATTTATTATTTTTCATGTTATAGTGAGAACCAGATTAGTTGTAACAAGGATAAAGGTCTTTTGTGACAGTAACTTCATCTATAGTTTTTTCTTATATTTTATAATGACATTTAGCTGAAGGACTTGCTAGAACAGTCTTCTCAAAAAACTCTACTCAGCTAGAAACTTAGGAATTTTGCTTAAAACCTAGAGAAATGTCTAAACTGACAAAGTATTCTAATAAAACAGAGAGGCATTATGAAGATTACATGTAATAGAAAAAGTACTATTGATTTAATTAATACACAAGTATTTTAATTTTGTTATACTATAAATTTATTGACATTCCTAATACACAGTTCTCTTTTATGACTGCACATCTAAAAAATATATCCCCTTATATGTTTATTCCTGTGATAATGTTATTTAGGGGATTTTATTTTGATGCATGTCCCCTGGAGTGACCATAATATGAAGAGAACAATTGATTTAAAATCTTACCAAAAAAAGTATGAACTCTGAGAATCTCAGCCTGACTCATTTGTGCCTTTTTGAGCATTGCTGACTATTAACTCCTAAAGGAGGGTGAAAGTGCTACTAGGTGCCACAACTTGTATTCAAGCTGATACAGGTACTAGCAGCAGCTCTGAAATATCCAGAAATGGAGAGGCATCTTACAGTACGGCAGAACAGCTGAGATCAGCAGTCACCTCTGGAGATTGTCTACTACAACCCCTCTGCTCATGGCAGGACCAGCTAGAGCGGATTGCTCAGAGCTGTGTCCAATCTGTGTCCCTTTCTACAGACCTTTAATTTTACAGTTCCCTAGCACATCTACATACAAAATAATAATACTTGACTTGCTATATTCTCTCTTATAATAAAATATCAATTTTAAATAGTTAACAGATAATTATCAAGAGTTAATGGACAATATTAGCTAAATAGCTAGTTAACAGATCATGAGTTAACAATCATCTCTCTTTCTCCTGCCAATTTTATCTCCAGGTCTGTAAATATCGCCTGAAGAAGATTATCTGTTGTAAGGGAACAATTTTCTTGTAATGATTTCAATGTGTATCCAAAGCAGTATAATTAGCAGTGCTAACAGACTTCGTTGATAGGGCAGGTTTTATTTATTTTTTTTCCTCACTGTCCCTACCATACTGTTGTGGTTTAACCCCAGTAGGCAGCCAAGCATCATACAGCTGCTCACTCACTCACTTGCTTCCCCCCTGTGAGATGGGAGAGATAATTGGAAGTATAAAAGTGCAAAAACTTGTGGGTTGAGTTAAAGACAATCTAGTAGGTGAAACAAAAGCTGTGCAAGCCAGCAAAGGGAGTAAGAGATTAATTCACTACTTCTCATCAGAAGGCAGTGTTTAGCCATCTCCAGGAAAGCAGAGCTCCACCACATGTAGTGGTTTCTTGGGAAGACAAACACCATAACTTCAAATGTCACCCCTCCTTCTGCAGCTTTTATTGCTGAGCACAACATCATATGGTATGAAATATCCCTTTGGTCAGTTGGGGTCAGCTGCCCCAGCTATGTCCCCTCCCAACTTCTTGAGTGCCCCCAGCCTCCTTGCTGGCAGGACAGCCTGAGATACAGAGAAGGCCTTGATGCTATGCAAGCAGTGTTCAGCAATATCTGAAACATCCCTATGTTATCAACACTGTTTCCAGCACAAATCCACAACACCATATGAGCTACTGTGAAGAAAATTTACTCTATCCCAGCCAAAACCAGTACACATGCTCTCCATTTTTCACCATGACGTTTCCCCAAATTTGCTTATTGCCTGTTCAAGTCATGGAACCTCATGGAACCATTGCAGGATTCCAGAAAAGCTTAAGCAAGCACCTGTCCCGGTGGCTGTCATGGGTGACACAAAGTAAATGGCAACCCACATTGGATCTGGGTGTTGGTGTCTGTTTCAGAATCATGCAGTTTAGAGCTTTTACATGCCTGGTTGTCTCACACTTCCTCTCCCCCTCTCAGTGTTACATTTAGGGATTACTCTGCTGTCCTGGGAAGGATGGGTTTAAAGCCCCATTGATTCACACTGTGCCACTGCTCATATGAAACTCATACCCTGACATTTGTCTCCACACATCTCCTCCTGTTCTAGGATATTCCCCAGTTCCAGGATCTTTTATCCAAACAGGATCACCACCTTCTTTCTGGGCTCCCAAAACCACTCTAATCAGACACATCATACATATCAGTGTCCTGACTGGTTGTTTTGTCTCATGTCTCTATTAATAGGAAGATTCAGGATATTTCACTTTTGTTTAGTCCAAGTGTTATCAAAATTTACAGCCAGCCCATACTGATTATAAGTACCAAGTAATGAGCTGCTTCTTGGATATTATGGGAAATGCTATTTTTTTCAGAGCTAACACTGTAAGAAGAGAATAGCATAAATGATCTTATGCCCCTTTAGATGCTGGGAGTCCTGAGCAGTACAGCATCGAACAAGACTCTGACCTGTGTGCAGCATGCCATGCAGACCTTTTCCAGAGCAAAGATTCTCCCTTCAGTTGTTTTTTTTTTTTTTTTTTCTTAATTCTAAGGATTTTCTTACAAGGAAACAATTATATCATTTCTACAGTCAAACAGAAACAATGTTCTCATGAGAACTTCTTGCTGGATAAAAAGCAGGGGCATGCAGCTGGTGTAATCACTGATACTGAGTGGAAGCTGACTGCAGCTCTTCTGTTGCCATGAGCTGGCTGAGGTTGTGCCCTAGCCAATGGATCTTGGTGGCTCAGCACAGGTCTGAAGGCCATGCTGGATATGTCACACAGGCCTGGGCTCCTTAGGTTAACTATATTGTGGATCACTGTCTCCTCAATGCACAACAGTCTTCCAGTCAGGATCACTACAACAATTTAAGCTGAGTTTTGCTTACCGCAGTGATTTAAGTGGAGGTGGTCCAACTTTGGGTCATTGCATGGACTGTTTGAGCATGGTAGTTGAACAAGATGACCTCCAGAGGTCCCTTCCAACGTCGCCATTCTGTGATTCTCTGACTGTCTGAATCTGTGAACTTCAGAAAATGCCACTGAGCCTGCTAAGTAGCTACTACATGTTTCTTTTAGTTAAAGCTTTATTCCTATGTTTATGACAAAGCACAGTATCAGTAAAATCTAAGTTACATCCTTAAATCTGCTTTTGCTTTCTTTGAAAGTCCAATGCTGCAGTATAAGACAAAAGTGCAAAAGGATCTTTTCCTTACCAGTACTAACTCACCTCTATGAATAGTTCTAATATTACAACACAGTAATATGAACAATGACTCTTTTTTACCCCTAAGTCTTTTCTTTCATGCAACTATTTTCCTGTAGTAAGATAAAGACTAGTACATACAGAAGGGCAAAAACACATGAAAGAACATCAGGTCTGTTTTTTTTTTTTTGTTTGTTTGTTTGTTTGTTTGTTTGTTAACTTTGAAATATGGCTTGAAAAAATGATAGGAAGGTAGGAATTTTGAGAACGTAGAACAATCTAGAGATCTGTCAAAGCCGTGGTGCCTCTCACTGCATAATGAATCAATGTTGAAGTGTCAGTAGCAGGAAAGGGTACAATCATTACAGTAAAAGCAACAATGGAAGAAGCAAAAAGTTTGTATTAATGACCAAAAGAAAGAAATGGAGATTCATTCCATCACCACTCAAGGTGAATGAAAAATCTGAGAATATGGTTTTAGTTGGATTTAAATAAACAATGAAAAAAGTTTTCAACAGTATAAAATAAATGTGTAGTTTGTGGAGCTGTTTGATTGTATATGGTGTATGGCACTTGCATGTTCTTAAATTCATAAGCCAATGGTTTGAAATACTCTTCATATAGGAAAATCTAAAGAGATAAAACAAGGATTAGGGTAAAAAAGGATAAGGACATGAGCATTATGTTGAAATCCAGCCAAAACAGTAATATACCTGGAAAAATATTAAGGATGATTTTAGTTGAATTTGCAACATTAAGGATAGTAAAGATAATATGTCAAATAAAGAAAGGTAGAACATGTAGAGTATTTCAATATGCTTGTGTAACTAAGAGAAACAGTTCTGTCTTTCACAACTCTATATTATTTGAAGAATGACAAAGAAAAATCTATGACTTTTCAAGTTTTTTAAAAAATAAATTACTCCGTTACTAGGTAAAATAAATAGGCTGATCTCAAATTTTCTTGATCACTGCACTAGCTACATTTATACTAACTCAGATAACACTGTGGTATGTTCTTTAGTCTCTTCTGTATCCATAGAGAGTGATTGTGCGGGACATTTTTGTGTTGAAGATTTGATGCATGCAGCTTAATTACTATTTGCTTACTCAGACTATGGTAAACTGCAGAGCAGGCATATTATAGACCCTGGATTCTTAGTTCCACAATTATTTAGATCAAAGGATCTGGACACAATACACTACAATCTGGTATTCTTGGGTTTTCTCATTTTCAAAACCAGGATACAGAGAGGGTGCCATTCACATTGGTTGTGCTTTGGCATTGAGTTAGAAGTGACCAGGATATGCTTTCTGCCCAGGAAATTGCCTCCCATAATTTTCCAGAAGTAATAACAATGCTGTAGGGGATTGTCGAGTTTACTATAAGATAAACTGTAAAACACATTGGTGCTGTATTTTGTATGGACTAGATTTTTTTCCCAGTGTTTGTTTTGTTTCATGGTGTTTTTGTTTTTTGTTTTTTTTTTTTTTTTTTTTTTTTGGTGTTCGTTTGTTTGTTTGTTTGTTTTTCCCCTGGAAACAGCTTTATATCATTGCTATTAGGGTTCTCAAAATTTCTTACTCTGAAAATTGTTCCAGATCCAAATAGAACCAGTTGACCAGATCTTAGAGAAATTTACCTATTTTAACATTATTCTCAAATTCTAGTGATATAACTCTTTATTAACATCTTAGGAATATTTAATCTCATTAAGAGACTATCTTTATAAGTTATCTCCTCATACTAGGAGTCACAAGACATTTTGCAACCACTCATTAAAGTACTATAGGCCTAATTTTGTCATAAGCAATTGTCCATGTTTGGGGGTTGCCTGAACATTCTCATCTGTTTATGTACATAGTAACCCTGTGAGCATTTACAAAGTGGGAGCTTTCTGCAGACATATCTTAAATTTTCCAGACTGTTTCATTCAGAATGTACATTTGGAAAAGTAAACTAAACAATAGATATCAGCTTCTATAATAATGAAACTCTGAACTGATAGGAAAATCTGAGGGTATTAAAGGGTGGATTATTTCTTGCCTTTTTTTTTTTCTTGAAATGCTACTGACCAGATTTTAGGGTCCATTACTTCTACTACTGAACAGATGTATTGATGTTTTCCAATTATATCTGTTATACGTCTCCACATGTGTTTGTCAGCTAATTCAGATGACATATATGTTTATCTTCTCTTGGTAGAGATAAGATTTTTTATACTTTTTCTTTCTCCTTTTTTCCCCAATAAATGGGTAGTTTTTTCTTGTTTTTCCTCTCACATATAAATAAATCACATTTAGGTTTTAAAATCTGTTCCTCAACTATTTATTTGCAGTTATCAGTTGTGGAGATCCAGGAGTCCCAGCGAATGGCATGAGATATGGTGATGATTATGTCGTTGGACAAAATGTTACTTATATGTGCCAACCTGGTTATACAATGGAATCAAATAGCTCCTTAATTCGCACTTGTACTATCAATGGCACATGGAGTGGAGCAATCCCAACATGCAAAGGTACAACATTCATTTTGATTGTGGACTATTTCTTCTATGACATTTACATCCACTGTTTATTGTAATGAGTCAGCCAAATATTTCCACAGAAATCAAAACTTGCTGTTAGTATGAACACACTGAATTGATTTTTTGGCTGCAGGAATGGTAACTTAATCTTTTGCTTCTTTTCCCTTTTATTTTTCATACCAGCACAGTATGTTGAACAGGTTTTTGTAGATTTATAGAACATTTTATTACTTTGCTCCTAAACTGAATTAACCAATATGAAATGATGGTTTAGATTTGTTTGCTTGTTTGTTAAACATGTCATACTAAAAATTACCTTACATATGTCCTTGTCTTTACAAAAAGACCACTCAAACATATGAAAGGCACCTTTGGGAAAGGTCTGCATATATATAACTGAACTTTTTTGAAGGCAAATTGTTCTGGGTTACCCTATCCGTAATACTAAGGTTTTTCTATGATGCCTCTTTCATCAGATGTGCACTTTTGAGCATCACTGTGCTGTATCAACATACTCAGAAAAAAGACTAAATCCTTCTAGCAAATTTCCTAATAAACATTTTTCTGCTTCATGTTATCTTCTCTACTGTGAAAACGGAAAGGATTAATCTCAAGATCTTTCTTTTCTCTCTTTTACTAACTACATTCCTGATTTCTCTGTTTTATTGGAAATTTTTTAATGCTCTCTTTTGAAATTTAAACAGCAAAAAATCTAAACTTTACCGAAAGACCACCTTATCTGTGTCATTAAAACAATTTTCTCCGAGTAACTCACTTGTTTACTAAGCCATAAAACATACCCTCTCCAGAGTTATTTTTCTAACTCTTCTGAATACCACAGCTGTAGAGAAACAGCATTATCGTTTCGGTGTTTTCTTCTTGGGTTCACATTAAATATGTCTGATTTCTATTCTCTTAAAACTCAGTCAGCTAAGTTTGTACTTACTTTGTTCTCATCCATTTTCCTTCTGTTTTATTTTCAGGAAGTATGGTTACATACCTGCTCAGTAATTCTCATTTTCCTCCCCTGAATTAATTCGTCAAAGTGAATCAAATACATTTCAGATCTCCACCCCATTTGCAATTATTTTCCTTGCTAAGTACAATTCTCCCAATATCTTACCAAGTCCAGTTTATTTCTAATTAACCTGTGTTAATGTCAATTTTTAAATTTATTTTCCCAACACATTATTGAGGATGCCAGACTTCAAGGTCTTATTAATAATTCACTTTTTTTTTCCTATTTGTATTGTGCTCTTACTCAATTATAAAAGTGATTTTAAGAACAGAACAGCCATACCGGTCCTATTGACAAGATTCTGTCTGTCTCCAAGAGTGGCTGTAAGTGTAAGTGTAAGCTAGAAGATCATAAGACGGAAGAAGTCTTAAGGACCATAGGGCACCTAACTGGGAGCAGGAGATCTAACTCTGATTTGATTCAAACAGAACTATAAAACAGTGCCAATTTTACTTTGAGTTTTTCAGTCTTTCTGGTTTTAGATCATACATATTTATGGCTTATACAAATAATAAATAATAACCATATGCAGAATCTCTAGTGTTCTTGAATTTTGTTCTACTCCACACACATTTGTGTGAGTGCACTTGGTAAGTTAGTAATGACCATTTCTTTGACTGTGTAATTAAAAGTAATATATAATACGTAGCAGCATATTTGAAATGTATAACAATTAGTTCTTACTGTCAGAATGAAGTATCAGAGTCCTCTGGTACTATTTAGTTAAAATAGCTGGAAAATGAAATGGGCAGAAAATGGATGTGTAATTGTCACCATGACATTGAAATAGAAGATATAAATAATTCTCTGGCTTTGCCTAGTTGGAAAAGGATACATGTTCATCTACAGTTAAGTATTCAACCGTTCAAGCATTGTCTTTTCAGCAGACTTGCATTTGTAATAAAATTTCAGCTTTTAATCTGTGAAATATTGCTGTATATATTTATGGTTAAATCTCTTACCAAAACTTTTAGAGGCATTCTGACTTGTTACTGGTTGTGGGGTTCTTTTTTGTTTGTTTGTTTGTTTGTTTTCTTTTTTTACCACAAAATACTGATATTATATCTGTTTTCATTTTACTGCTTCTATCTCATTTCCTATTGACCGTTATTTCTTCTTTTATTATTCAGCTCGGAAGTTAAAACATAAAGCTTTAATTAAAAGGACTAGTCATGAAGCCCTTGAAGAATGCAGGCAGATTTATGATGCTTGGAGTACTTTGACTTATTTTTTTAAAACACCATGAAAATTTGGCAAAAACTATCATGTCCTTTTCTGGGTTTGTTGGTTTGTGGGTTTTTTTAAGCTATGAACAAAAGCAAGAGAAAAAGTATAAAAATAGAGTCTTAAAATTTAGATTTGGTTTACTGACTGTCAAAAGATTATTTGATAATAGTACTACTTTCATCCAGCATTCTCAAACAGCCATGAATGGTGTTGCAGAGCATCTTTGTGGTGTAAATAGCTGAGATTCTCTCACTGGAGAGCATAATAAGAATGGAGAAATGGTACATGGTCAGCCTTCTGCAGATCACATTCAAATATGCAGTACTCCTGATCTAGTGCCTCTAAATTCTTTTGAGCCTGCAATATGACAGCTGTCTAAACATAAGTTTAAATGTTATGAGTGCAGCATTTCATGTCCTCCATTCTTGTGACATGTGTGTTCTCTGATTTATTTTTAGTCACCACTTCTTCTCATTTACTCTAATTGTTTCCACTAAATTAAATCATACTAGTTTCATTTGCTGTCTTTCTCTTTTGCTAGCACAATTTCTCCCAACTTTTCTCTTTTTCACCCATTTTTGCTTTCTCATTCATTCTAGAAACTTTGGCCTAAATTTCCCCCTTTCTCTTTTTTATTCCTTTTTTTTTTTTTTTTTTTTTTTCATTTGTCTCCTTTTATACCCTTTTTCCTGCAGCTCTCAATTAGCAATTGCCTGTTACTACCCGTCATCCTGTGAATAACACTTTTATCTTCGTCACTAGTTATATCTGCTTATTTCTACTGTCCTCCTATGGTGTTTTTCAGTCCTCTTTCCTACAACTGAGCAGAAGATGTTTCTATTTTTTCCTGGGAGGCCTGGAAATGAGAAACTATACTGAAATACTTCTTGGCCTTAGAGGTAGCAACACTGAGAATTTCAAGAGGTTGTAAATCCTTAAACTTTCTCTCTCTAGCTAGAAGCTAGATGCTTTTTGGTGAGGAGCTATTAATGAAGCAAATACTAACCAAACTGAGGTACTTAGAAACAGGCTTTCAAGTCATACTTTGGAACAATCATCCTGGAATTTCATCCCTGGACATTAATATTGAGCAAATGTCTAAGCTGGTAAACAGGAAGAAAGTACTTGACTATTACCACTGTAACTAAAGATAATTGTACTCTGTATTGTCTAAACGGACAAACAAAATAATTTCGTAGTGTACTACCAGACATATCTTAAATGTTGTATGCTTTATAGTCTCCATACTGATTTTTAGGTAGTCTTCCTATTCAGTTTGATGCAGCATCCTGCTTTATTTAAGATACTTTATCAATCAGCCACTGTCTCCTAAATGGAGGAAACCAAAAGTACTAACTTCAGGAAATGTGGCAAGAATACAGTGAGGAAGGTAGCATGTCCTGACTCTATTGTCCTCTAAAAAAAGGTGAAATTAGCACATATGGTTCTTCTAGTAATCGTGTACACTGGGGATATTTACAGCAGCTGGGTCTAATTATTTTGAATATTATTGCAGCTGTTACCTGCCCAACTCCTCCGCAGATCTCTAATGGAAGGTTGGAAGGAACAAACTTGGACTGGGGATTTAGCATTAGCTATGTCTGCTCTCCAGGATATGAACTCTCTTTTCCTGCTGTTTTGACTTGTGTTGGGAATGGAACATGGAGTGGTGAAGTACCTCAGTGCTTGCGTATGTATTTACTTTGTGGTCCTATATTTCTATTCAATTATAGTGCTTTTTTCCTCTTTAAAGTTTTTAAAGTTTTCACCTTTTTTTTTTTTTTTTTTTTTCCCCTCAGCAGTTGCTCGGTTCATTTCAGACCTGGGACAAATACAATCATTCCACATTTTCCAAAACATAATTTGTGGATTGAGGAAGACAAAAGAATACCTGTAAATCCTTTATGAGCATATAGAAAGCCTTAAACACAAACACAAACAAAATATTACAAGCAATGCATAGAAAATAATCCAAGGCAAAACAAGATTAAGAGGTCCTGTCTTGTTTTTAGATCCAGTTGCATATAGGATAGGGGAGGTTTCATTATAATCTCTTTTATTTGCTCATTACTCATCCTAAAATTTCTCTGAAGTCACAGAGAGTTTTTTCTGGTTTTGACTAGGCCCCAGGGTGATTCCTTGACAATTGTCTATTTTTTCCCTCACGCTAAATTAAGTTACATGTTTTATGCAGTAAATTGTTAACCTTAAAGTTGTAACATTAATGGATTTTTATATTGCTATAAATTCCATTACAATAGCAAATGTGGGTTTTTCTTTAGGTTGATGTCATTCCACTCATTATTTAAAAAATCTTTTTAAAGAAGTGATTGTGATGCTTCTGAGAGATATTCAGTTGATTGCATTGAAGAGGAAATTCTGTATTTATTTGTAGAATAGCTATACCACTGAACCTCTATAATGGTCTTGAGCAAGGAGTATAATTGGAAGAGGATAATTTCATCTTCATGGCTTTACAGCCCTGAAGTTTAATTCATGCTTGCCAAATAGATGAGCTTGCCAGGTATCTTGCTAAATGGTGCAAAATGCAGTTCTCTGTTCTTTTACTATTTTTTGCATTCTTCATCTCTCGCTTTCAAAAACGTTCTTTGTTTTGGTTATATCTTACTAATATGAAAGCGTATCATATAGATGATCTTTTTCTTTTTTTCCTAATGATATTCTCATTTCATCAACAGCAGTTGCTTAGTGTTGCTGAAACTGTATCTATGGAACATGATAAAAGGCATTGTTTCTGGAAGAAAAAATCCCCACCATTTGTTGTTTAAGTTGTCTGGATAAAGCTTTTCTAGAGTCCACTATATTATGAACATCAAAGACCACGAAGAATTCTTTTCATCATTTGTTCTTGACTGAAATATTGTGTCCTTACATTAATTTTTGGATACCACAAGCTCTTTGTCATCTTCGAGGTTGGAATACTCAATACTGTAATATGCACTGAAAAAGAGTCTCCACCTTTAAACTTTTTTAAAAGGTATAGTTAGCACAGAATGCAGCTGCCTGGGAATTAAAGTCTGTTTCATGTAGAGATTACATTAACTGAACGTTGTTAACGTGCAGTGGTTACCCATTGGCTTGCAAGAGAAATCAGTTGGCAGCCATTGCTTGTCAAAGACCTTAAACTAGCTGCCATCTGGCAGAAATGAAAGGGAGCTGGTGAAAGTCATTCTCAATGAGCAATCTTTAAGCAATTCTTGACATCAGAAATTTAGTTCCCAGCTTGGTTCCATAGGGCCTGTAACTGAAAATATGCAAGGTATAGTTATAATGTGGAATAATTATTCAGAATGGAATATGTTCATGTCTTTGGTTAAGTATTTGTCATCTATGACCTAGTAAATTTGTCTACTTAATTATTCATATAGTAATTTGAGTAAAGGACAGCTGTTTTTATAAGCTTGGAAATAGATGGCAAAAAAAAAATACAGGCCTATGCTTGAAAATTCCTAACTACTGATATAACTTGCTGTTAATCAATTAAATGTCTTTGAAGAATGAGACTAGACTCACAGCCTCAGTGCCAGAGCTCCATTACCCTGTCTCTGTTAAAGGCTTTCAGTCCTTAGGAAAATATTTCCACTGGGACTGGGATCACTCAGAGCTTCCAGTTTGCTGCAACTTTACTTTGTTCTGTAGTCCCCTGTTCCAGTATCAGAGGAAAACTGCTGTATTTTACCATGGTGCCTGGTTTCTGTGGTTACCTACATAGAAGGCAGATATTCAGTAGATATTCAAAGATTGAGTAAAGTTGACTGACAACTAAGTGGTGGAAATTACTTAGTTTTACGAAATAGTAAGAAGTTTACCAAGAAACCATATTTTAATGTGAGGATTTCTTTTCCTTGAGAGTGGTGGCTACTTTGTTGGTACAAAGAACTGTTCAGGGGACAATTTCAAGCCTCTGTGTTAAAAATCTGTAAGTATTTCATATATTTTCAAATTAAGAGTTCCACAGAATTTTCTAATGAATGCATACATTACAACTATGATCTCTAAATCACACAATGAGGTTCACTTTGTGGCACTACTGCCAATTCATAGATCTTTTCAGAGTCTGGCCTATAATTCTGCAGATGGTATCATTCTACTTAAATTCATGAAATGATATACATTTCTGGTATGGTACAGATTAAGTCTTTTTTCTGCAACAATATGTGTGTAAATAGATTTCCTGTACAGTCAGTGTCTGTAGTAAGAGGTAAAGGGTAGGAGCATTTCATGTGAGCAGGTCCTTTGGAAAACTTAAGGCATAGGTGACAAAGATAGAGAAAATCAAAATGTATTTTGAAGGTGTTTGTTTAAGAGATGTAAATTAATTTTTGTTTGTAGAAGAGAAAGATGGAGCATAAAATTCCACTGTCTGTACAACATGCCTTTTTAGAAATATGTAATTGCACACATCTGTTTTTGTGGTTTTGTGTTTTACAACATTTTCTGTTTGATAAGAAATCAGACTCTACAATATTGTAATTCATGGTGTGTCAGGGAATATGGCACAGGGTTTACCATAGCTGATTGCATTTCCTGAATCAATTATTCAAAATGCAGCTTTTGACAATAATCAGAATAAGACCAGTAAACTTGCCAGCAGTACATTTACTTAGTCGTGTTATGGTGTAGACATAAGGAATCTTTATCTGATTGGTACAAAGTAAAAAGACCAATTTAAGAACATGTTCTTATCAGTCAAATTTATCCCACCTTATAACAGCTTATAAGTGTCTGACTTTTAGATTGCCACTGAAATTTCTTGACTCTGTTTGTTTTTTTTTTTTTTAGCTGTTCTAACTTTCAAGTGTTGCATTTCCATACATAGCAAATCTTGTCTTTCAGTGAAGGATGAGGAAGTAAGAATTTATGATTCCTAAAATGTGACAAATCCTTTAATCATACTAAAATGTTGAACACTGGGTAGATATCAGAAAGCAGCAGAGGATGGGAGATTGACATGAAGGTTTGGTACACTCTGCTCCCTATAAGGTGATTTGCAGATTGATGTGGTTTGGGGCAGAGGTGAATTTTGGATATATGTGGCTTAATAAAATAAGTTGTGTAACCTTGAGTGTCAACTTCAAGCTACAGAACAAGCCCACTATGTAGACATTCCGAACAGCTAGCAAAACTTCTGCAAAGTGAAGTAGACTAAAAATTGGTTATCTAGTCTCTCTGAATTCCTATTAAATGTTTATGTATTTGACCTGTGCTTAATAAAATAAATATAAAATTTGGAGTAACTGCTTTACTGAGTCCATGTAAGTGTTATTTTTGTGTATTTTAGTAAATGATATATTCCATTTTTAACATGTCTTTACTCACAGCAAAGTTTTGTGGTGATCCTGGAGTACCTGCTCAAGGGAAAAGAGAAGGCAAAAGCTTCATCTATCAGTCAGAAGTCTCTTTCAGCTGTAATTCTCCCTTTATTTTGGTTGGGTCCAGCACCAGGATTTGCCAAGCAGATGGCACATGGAGTGGTTCTTCTCCTCGATGTATAGGTAAGGTTACACCAATATTAATGAAATTTCTTGAAATGCTTATTATTCCTTCTCTTCATAAGTCAATCCAGTTTTCAGCTATTTTGAGTTGTGCTGGTGTTATTCTAAGCTCTTTAAGAATCAATGCACTTTAATTTTCTTTCTCTCATTGGCTTATTGGATGTTGTTGAACAAGCTTAATTTTGTGATATATTCATATATTTATTCAAATACTGTCATTTGTTTTGTCTTTAATTTATTCTATTTTTTTTTAAAGAACCTACTCGCACAGCCTGTGAAAATCCAGGAGTCCCAAGGCACGGGTCACAAAACAATACATTTGGCTATCAGGTAAAGTATATTATTTTTTATTAACTTGCATATTAAAATATTTTTATACTGCCTCAAAGTCTAGAAAGTTCTCATTAGAGGTCCAGAAACTGCTCATTCCCTGTAAGATCTGGTTGCTGGAGTGTTGATGTGTTTCCTTATTGCTAGCTGTTGGATTACATTGACCTTGTGTCTCTATTAGCAATGCGCTATGTGAAAGCCTGATGATTGAGCTCTCCTTCGTTTCACCTTGAAAGAGTTCAGTATCTCCCCACCAATGTATGTGCTCCCTACTGTTTATCAAGTAGGCTTTTTCTCCTTAAAAGTGTGTATACTGTGTGCCAAAATGCTAGTGTAGACATACTCTAACTGTACATTTTTTTTTTTCCTGAGAGAAATTCTTTTGTTACATTTCGAAATATGTGACCACAAAGGAATCACAGTCACTGGGGCGAGCAGGTGCCTCTAGAATGCTTCTAGTCCAACCACGCTTTTCAAGTCAGGGGCAGCTGGAGTAGGTTGATCAGGGCTATGTCCATGTGGTTTTGAATATTTCCATGGATGGAGACTCCACAGCCTCTCTTGACAACCTGTTCCAAGTTTCTTATTTTTAAACAGAATATATTATGTTTCAGTTTATGCCTATTTCCTCCTGTCCTGTCGCTGGACAACACTGAAATAAAGTCTGTCACCTTACCAGCCCCCAGTGAGCTTTATAACACACTGATAAGACTCTCCTTGGGTCTTTTCTTTTTCAGGCTGAGTAATCCCAGCTCTTTCAGCCACTCCTTTTATTCCAGATACTTTAGTCCCTTCATCACTTTTGTGACACATCACTGGACTCAGTGCAGTATGTTTGTGTCTGTCTTTCACTGGTGAGCCACGCACTGGAATCAGCACCAGCTTCTGTCTCACCAGTGCTGAACAGAGGGGAAGAGTCACCTCCCTCAACCTACTGGCAATGCTCTGATTGATGCAGCCCAGGAGGCTACTGACTGTCTTTTCTCCAAGGGTGTGTTGTGGCAAATGGTGTTTGCATATGCTTCTCTTGGAAACAGAATTGTGAAATTTAAAATGCTTCTGAATTACTGATTATGTGAATTAAAAAAATCAGTGACGTCAGTGAGACATTTTCCTGGGTGAATAGTGTACAGACGCAAAAAATGTGCCCTATAATCTGCCAGGAATCTGATAAGGCAGCTACCAACAAACTAAGAGTCTAAACTATTCTGCTACACATGTGTTTGGTGTCAGGGCTGAAAGCTTCAGACGTGTGAAGACTAGGCAGAACAGTAAGCTAGCAGCTACCCAGTTGTATGTGGTGTCTTGTGGTAGGATTTTCTGGGGATCAGGGACATGCACTGATCCTACAGGGTTTAGACAGTCCAGGCTGGGTCTCTGAGCGGAAAACAGCCACATGGTAATCCTGCCCTTGAGGTCACCTGGAAGGGCAAGAATGAGGAAGTCAAGCTAGTGCTTCCTTCCTGTTTGAATGCCTGGATACACTAACCGCAAAGTATATTTAGTTTGTACATGTGTACTAACGATGCAGACCTATCACAGCACTTCCGGGTGCATGATAAGTGCTTTTAGCCAATAGATCGTAAAGCATAGAGCGTGTGACCGTCTGGCTCTGTATATCTTGGCGCTATTCAGGCAAATAAAGGAGAACAACTTTCATCGCATTGGTGTGAGGTCATTACTCGGGTCTTGTCTCCGTTCGGGGTCCCTCCTATAGTGTCTGTCCACTAGCAGGAGTTAAATAAAAACTGGAGTTTACCAGTTATGCAATAAAAGGATTGCTTGAAATCTAAACAAATTTACAACATTAAATTATTTTTTAAAAGCAAAGGTTGTAGCTAAAGACTCTTCAAAATTTTTGGCCAAAAATTTCTTTGGTTTGTCATTTGAGTGGCCTTTATGCGGTACTCCTCTTGTTTAGTGATTGTTTTATCAGTCTTGTTTTTTTCAGATTGTGCTAGATCACAATAATGTGTGAGTGGTAATATAGTTGTCTCAGTTTTCTCCAGGGAATGGAGTGCTGTTTCATGCCAATATAGAATATACAGGGGGAGACCTTTGGCTACCTTCATTTGGATATAATACAATACTATGTTAGAGAGCAACTCTTTATTCAACTGTGTAAGAAATGAATAATTTCAGTGACCATTTTCTACAATTTTATTGTCACAGTTTCTCTGGCATATTAATGAGCTTTCTGTCACTGCAGAAGCTAATACAGGCTTTCTCATTTGTGGTGTAGTTGTTGTAGTTGTGAATGAAAGTATCACTCACAGATAGCATAAAACTGTCAAAATACCAGGCAAAATGTCAACTGATAAATAAGTGTAGCTGCTGGCAGAACTTGCAACCTTGATCCCACAGTTGTAAGATTAGCACCTAGCAGCTTTAAACCGAATGAGCTATAGTCTCCTTACCTAGAGAGTAACTTATCCTCACACTCATGTAGCAAATTTGATTTTATATTTAGTAACTAAATGTCTGCATGTAATTTCTGGTTACTCTAAATTTGATTGCTTAGTTAATACAGAAGAGGGTAGGAGTATCATTTGTACAGATGAAGCTGAGTTTAGCTCCTTATTGGGTGGAAACAACAGTGAAAATGATCGGTTCTAGACAAGTTATTGTCTGTAGATCCTGGAAAGAAATACTACATTACTGTATATTCTATAATGTTATGACTCATTTAAACTACCAAGATATTATAAATGAATTTATATTATGCTATTATTAACTTCCTGTATTAATGGAGAATAATGACTTTTGCTTACATCCATAGCAGAAAGGTAAAGAATAATTCTAAATTATATCAAAGTATTGAGGATGAGGTGGCTTTGATTTTGTTCTGTCCGATAGATCCATTGTCTACCATTTTAAACAACAGAGCAAAAAAGCTTATGTAAAAATAAGCAAAATGTTTTGCAGTTGGCAAACATATAACAAGGAGTTGTTACTGTTGAAGATATAAGATCGTTTTCTGATTCTAACCAAGGTGGGGGAGGTTTCTCAGTTGGGGATTTGGTGGGAATTCAGTTTGCATTCTTTTGTGGTTTGGTTTCGGTTTGTTTGGGTTTTTTTTAACTCTCTTGAGCACTTCACATTTAAACTAATATTAATAGGGTCACTTGAGTAACTTAATTTTTAAGTTTCAAATTTATGCCTCTGTCTCATAAAAAAAATATCAAGCTGTAGTCTGACAATAGAATTCATGTCTTCATATATGGAGTCCTGTTTAAGTGCTTTTCAAGAAATGACAATACCTCCTTTTTTACCTGACTGTATCATTGATTGTCATTTGCTTTTCACAATACTAATGTCAAGACATGAATTTCCACAGCAGTGTTTTTTTGTTCTTGTCATTTCCCCT